GCTTTCGTGGATGGATGGTTTAGTAGGTTGCTAAATATGCAGTAGGCTCTATCATATAGTTCTCAACCACTGAGCTCACATTGATCGACTCCTGCCGCCGGGAGTCGTGAAGCATTTAATTGGGCCCGACCACTGTGTGAAGTGATGTGAAGTGCTGTACAACTTAGGATACATCCGTCCCATAAGCTTATAAGAAGCTCATTTAAAGTTCCGCATATATACAACTATGTTTTGTCTGTGTTCCTTTGGGTGGTTCAAAATCATCCATATACAAATTCCCTTATTCCAGACCTAAAGTAATAGCACACTTTAATGTTTTTTCCTAGAGTTATACTATGCATGCACGTGTTTTCTCTCTTTCATTACCTGTACTATATGAGCTGGATTGGTCCTCTATAAAATGTTGATTGATGATAAATGTGTGCTCCGTGTACTAATAACAATTATACAATGGCAAAGTTGTGCTTTTTTTTTTTTTTTTTTTTTTGTACATGTATACGTAAGATACGCTCCAAGTTGTGTGTAAGGGTAAAGAGTCTTCCATCATCATAGGAGAAAATACACGTGTTTTAAAAGTCGTTATACTGCAATACAGAATTGCTGTCTATTGAATTAGAAGGACGATTTAGTTCAAGAAATGCTAAGTTTCCTCCCCGCCTCTTGTTTTAGCTTGAGCTAAACCCTCTCTTCCTCTGTGGTGTGCTCTTCCCTGCACTGTACAACCCCACCTTTATTTCTTCTCATCAATAATACCCCCCACCCCCAGCCCACTTCTTCGCATTCTCTCCACCCGACATGAACTCCTGAACTATGGCAACCTTTTCAATGCTCACGCCTGCCTCGTGTGCTTTAATTTGGCCTCGCTGCACATGCTAAATGCTAAGACACCGCAAAAGACGAGTAGAAGAATGTTTTGTGCCATAGTTCACCAATCAGAAAATGTCTACTGTGGTGGTGATGATGATTGTAGAATAATAAATTCTTGTGAAAGGTCACGTTTGGCTTTGTTTTTCCTTTGGTGTCAAGAGAGGCATTTATAGAATCACTGAAAGATCCTCGACAGTGTTTTAAGTCTTAAGATGCACAGGCTTCTCGTGTAACGCTGTGGGCCAGCCGGTGATATCCCATCATTCGCTAAATTTTTGTCCAATGTCATTTCAACTGTTGTGTATTGTCAACGTGACCGTCTCCTTACGTCGGATTTGAAATTTGCCGAAGAGCCCAGCTCACTGGCTCACAACAGCATCACTATTTTATCCACGGATGGGTCAGTCAAGGAAAGCAAAGTTCGACGAGCAATGCCTGTAGCGACCCGCGCACGTGAATACATTTGAAGATCAGCATCTCCGGTGAGTACGAGGATCCTGGTAACAAACGGCGCTTTGTGTTGATTGGAGCGCAATTCAAGATGGTGAAGTTTTGTTTTACAGGGCATGGTGGACACATGGATGGGCAGCGAGATGATGGCTTGATGGAAGAATGAATGGACGCCAAGTGTGTCATAAGGAGGTAAAAGAGCGGCGAGTTTAATTGTATTTGTTGGTTGAAATGTCCCAGGTCAACTTAAGTGGGAACCGCAGCTAAGATACAAATCATCTAGTCTCGAGCTCTTCAGTAATTGGAACGTACACTATGAGGCCGATGGCTGAATGTGCAGCAATTTAAGAGAAGCCCCTTCCAGCTGGAAGCCAGCTTTGTGTGCTACATATAATGACAGATATTTCTGCAGAGCGGACCGGATTTGATCATTATTGTGTTCGTCGGAGGGGGATGTTATATCTCGCAGCATATTGGTGATGATAAGGTGCACCTGCTTTGTGCTACGCTTCATTGCAGTGGACGGCAGTAACAGCTCCTCTTCTTCACTGATTCTGCTGTCCAACGGAACTAATACTGCGCTAATTGCTGCCTTTTAGTCATAAACAATCTGATTTTTTTTTCCTGAGTTTACCTGGACAATGCTAGAGGGACATCGAGCCATGACCCAACAGGAACAATTCATGAAGTGACGGGGTCGTGTTGCAATAGCTTTGCGCGTCTACTAGTATTTCTTTCATACATGAGTGCGAATCAAGCAAATTTGATTGTAAGCCCCACCGGGTTAAAATGTTAACGCGATTAAAAAAAGGATGATGATCGTGACCTTTGACATATGTGAAGTTTCACGGGATAAGCTAAATGCGGAGGGGTCACCTGGGACACCTGAGGCCAGAGAGTGTAAAAAAGCGACATTGCAGCACATTGGGAGGAAGAACGAGATGAGAAAGGCAAAGTGACAAAAAGCAAAAGAATGTTATTTATTTCATTCAGCGGATCTAGAAAATGCTCAAGAGCATGACGGAGAAGCTTATTGGATTTATTTTACACTCCCGCTCTCACTCACCCACACGCAGCCCAACACACACTTTGGTTAAGCACAACATACAGTGTTTCACTCCATCAAACATACAGTATGCCTTCACCATTGATTCACTCCGTGCCTCCTCGCTTGATCAATACGTCAGTCTTTTGTCTAATCACACACACTTTCATTTCCCTCCGATGCGATCCTTCCTGTCTTTTACTGTCATGACTCAAACATAAGACTCAATGAGGTGCCGGGTGAACAACGTGAACAAAATAAACGACTCTTGCCAAAGAGATCGCTCCTTCGAATAAGTCTGCAGTACCAAATGCAATTGAGGAAATTAACACCCTTGGCCGCTGTTACTCAACATTGTGGAATAGCTCATCTTCCCATTGTGTACATTTTTTTGTTTGGGGGATAAAGGAAAACCATCACACAACCTAATGAGATCCAAGACAAGCGCCGTGGCAAAAATAACTGACTGACGCTCTTTCTTATGGCAGGAATTTGTCATCACCCATCTCATGTTGGAAAATAGATTTGGGTAACCAATCCAATCTCTCTCTATGTACTGCTTGATTTAAGTTTCGGCTGATGAGATGACGGTCAAAAGTCACATCCGCGCCTCCGCACATGCATACACGTAGTTCCCTCGGGCCGTGTCTCTGGCCACGAACGCCATAAATCACAGCTATGACACATTAGCATCACGCCAGAATCATGCCACACTTCACCATATGTCCTCCCTCCGCCCTGGAGTCACCCCCATCTGGTAACGCACACACTGGGCTGAGTGCACGCGCATTCGTTCTCCGTGCACAAGCAACAGTATGCGATGAGGAAGTTAGCGATACACAAAAGCGCCCAAATTGTAGTTGTAAGTAATTGCTGTTGATTGTTCGCTGTCTGGTTTCTGGGAGGTTTACTGGCACTCTAGTAAACCTCCCATCTCATCTTCCTCCTCCACTTCCTCCCCCTCCTCGCTGTCTCAGAGCGCTGGCCTGAGGGGGGAGAAGGTTCCAGCTCACTGAGCGCCGAGCCTGCAGTCCTACTCTCGAGCAAGAAGGATGGGAGACTGTGTCAATGTTGGTTTAGACACCAGGCCTCCATGTTGCACCGACGCTGGAGCGATTGTGGACTCACCATAACACAAGGTAGTCATGAGTTGTTTTTCAGCAAACTTTTTCTGCGACAATTGCCCAACAAGTGATGTTTTACAATTGCAGTCTTTATACATCATTAGTTTTCAAATTTCTGATTTTTTTTTTTTTTTGTGTTATTAGTTTATCTCATTCACCCTTTCATGCAACCTGTAACCCGATGACATGATACGCTGTCCACTGTAGTAACCTCGGTCCCTGAAAGGGTTAAAATATGATTTGAATTATTTTGGAACCGCTTTCCACATGCTTTTAACATTTTGTCAGTTTGCCCCAAGAATTGGACAATAGATTACAGTTAAATGAATTGAAAATAATATTTCAAAACGAGCAAGAATTACTCTATTGAACTAAAACCTTTTTTGTTGCATCATTTTTTTTTCCAGTGAACCTTCCAGTGGCAACTCATCATTATTGTTTTCACTTTAACCTTTCCTCTATCTTCCTCCATGCCTACTCCAGCCCTCCATCATTCCTTCTGCCAGCTTCCTCTCTTACTTGCAGCTTGCTCTTTTTCCTTCAGTCGACCTCATATCCGACCTACGCCTCTCTCTTTTCCTTCTTATCCACTCCTTTTACCACCTTTCTTTGAGAATCGCTGCCGCGTCTCCCTCCCGTACTCCCCTCACCGTCACTCCTTCAACATCCCACCCGCCTGTCTCTCACTATAGAGGTGGAATGCCATGCTTCTCTTCCTGAAGTCATTTCTATGTTAATGAGTCTCCTTGTGAGATAACGCGGGCAGTGAGGGCCTCACGTGTGCGTGCCCACATGCGCACACACTGCAAAGGTGATAGGACCTGTCACTGCTCTCTCCCTTTTTGATCTGCCCCTGCATTTCTGTATCTGTAATCCCTTCCCTCCCTCCTCTGTGTTTTTGATTCTTTAAATTCACCCGTTTCCTCCTGACTGTGACAGCCGCTTTCAGTCAGAGCATCGTGTTGAAGTTAGTGCACCAGACAGTCCGTTAGTTGGAGCTCTAAAACACTGAGTCAGATTGACACATGAGCAGACTGTCTATATCTGTACTGTATGCGCGTGGAAGCGGAAAGTGGACAAGGACTTTGGTCTACCGTGGCCATGGATGGGGCAAGGTTGAATGATCTGTTGAAATAACACAGTGCTGTCTTTTAGGGGTGTCGATATGCGCGCGCACGCACGCACACACACACACACACACACACACACACACACACACACCGTAACTTAATATTACTTCACTTGACTAATTTACATGTTTACTTTAAAACCAATCTGAATTGTTAAAACCATGCGTACTCGACTTCAGCAACCTATTCTGTTTTTATTTATTGATTAACACAATGTCCCACCTTCTTTGCAATTTGGGTTGTTTGTAGGTACAAAGATCCAGTGCTGTGACGCTATGTGTGCTGAAATAGGCAATGCATTGGAGTTTGAGACAGTCATATCTGTTAGACTGCTTGTGGCACACACACACACACACACACACACACACACACACACACACACACACACACACAACAACAATGTGACAGTATGTTAACTGAACTGTGAAGCTCACGCTGCCTTGTGTGAAGGCCGTGCAGGAGAGGAATCATTAAAAACGGTCCGTGGCTCTTTAAGTGGCGTTTCTGCTTCTCTCCCGGGTACTATTCTTCATGCATCACTTGCTTCGAGCTCTCTCGCTCTCCCCCATCTTCATTCGTTCTCTCCCTCCCGGTACTGGATAGAACAGAGACGCGGACTCCTACATTCAGAACCACGGACAGCTCTCCAGGCGCATGCGGCAGAATCTGGCGCCGCCGGTTAGGGGTGTGGCAGGAGCGTCAAATTTGCACTTTGCTGCTTAAAGGTGAAAACATTCTCATGACTTTTTTTTTTGTATGAAACGTTGTTGTAGTTAGAAGTGGTGGTTAGAAAAACACACGCGCGCGCACACACCATCATACAAGTTGTCTGTTTTCTGTCCAGCTGTGTATTCGGTCTCTTCCTCGTTGACACGAGCCTCCCACTCTTGGCTTTTATAGTCTTGCAAACGGTGGGCGGGATGATGAGCATAGCTCGTACGTGATTGGTTATTCAAGGACCATTTCCCCCAGTTGACCAATCAGAATCGAATGGCGTAGCCCCAGGCGGACTTTGAGGAGACGCGCGGTTAGTTTTGGTTTGTGTTGGTTGGACCGACGGGAGGAGGAGGAGGACGACGAGGAAGAGTAGGAGGAGGAGGAAGGCTGTCACTGTTATTTTTCGCCACTCCATTTGTGCCAACAGACACGTTTATTGTCAGAAGCGAGAATCTGCCCGTCGTGAAGACGTCCCCATTTTGCTGCCTCTTTGATGAAAAAAACAGCCGCTGTATCCAGCTCGAGAGTGGACGAATCTCGACCTTGGATTTCGAGGGAGAAGATGTCAGTGTGGCAACAGCTGGAAAGGGAAATACGACAAATGTCGGTCCACTCTCACAGTAGCTGACGTGTAGGCTTTGTTTGTTAGAAAAAGGGGCGAAAACCACCTATCTCGCCTCGTAATTTGGAGCTCCATGACGTGTTCTACATGCAAAGCGGTGAGTCTCGTTTAGGGAAAACAACACCAAAAAAAAAAAACTATAGGCAGTGGTGAAGATGCTGACTGTGCCGGCTGCTAGCTGAGTTGCTAACTCCAGGAAATAATTGACTGAAGTAGGCAGACGATGTGGCGTTTTTTGGACTGAGTGAGGACAGTGTGGGCTAGTCGAGGACAACCGGTGGTCGTCAAAGCTCCGGTGTGCGCGCGTGTGTGTACGTGAGCTCGTGTTGGTGGTGGTGTTTCGATGCGCCACCATCCGCACCCTTTGCCATCAGCCACACGGGACAGAAAACCTCGTCGACATGTCATCCCAGAAGCCCGTTTGTTAAATTTACTCTTTCCCCAAATCTCGCGTGGAAATAGCTGGAGGGGGGGGGGGAAGCCCATAAGAGAGGAGGTGAACAAAGATTAAGCCCAAACAGGAGTCGCCTATATGAAGATGCTGATGTGTGACCGCGGCGTCCAGATGCTCGTGACGACGGTGGGCGCGTTCGCCGCCTTCAGCCTCATGACCATCGCAGTGGGGACAGACTACTGGTTGTACTCGCGAGGGGTCTGCCGCGTGAAAAGCAGCGGCGACAACGACACGAGCCGCAAGAACGAGGAGGTAATGACGCACTCCGGCCTCTGGCGGACCTGCTGTCTGGAAGGTACGTGACCAGTCTGGATGACCTGTGTGCGTGCGTGTTCATCGTTTGTCTTCCGCTCTCCCATGCATCAACTCCAGAATACCTTGTTACATTCCGTCACAAAGCCCGTAGCTCAGTTGACTCATGTCAAATAATTTTCCCCCTTTGAAGTAAATTGAAATCCCAGTAATCCGTTCCTGCAGACCCCCCAAAACCACCGCTATTTTTTTGTAGGGCTGGACGGTTAATTGAATTCAAGTCGACATCACGGTGGAGAAAGGCTGCAAATTGGAAAAAAAATAAAAATAAAGCATCTGCTTAATTTCACTCTGCAGTATGCTTTTTTAAATATCAATGCATGGGTGGCATTTATTTATTTATATAGTGACTATACGTTTGCCCTTATATTGTTGTAATCTGGGCTGATTACATGATTGACTGATTTAAGGTTAACTCACTTGTTTGGTACAATTTTGTTGTAGTGAAGGCTTAACGTCAGTGTTTATTGAAGTAGAAAAATAAAATGTCTCAAACTGTTTAATGGTTCATTAGCCTTTGTTTAGCCATAAACCTGCCCTTTAAGACCAAAACATTTCTGTACAATAAATCGCAACCCCTCTCTAAGTACTCACTTGACAGCGACCAACTTTACATAATTTGCAAATGAAGATCTTCTAGCAGTTCCTTGTAAATGTACTTTGCGTAAGCTAATCTCCTACCGTGACTCCAGCGAGTCTGTTATGTTTTCCGCCACGTAGTCCGTTCACCTCTCCTGAGTTGAATTCAAAAGGAATGAGGGGAGCCGCTTTGATTGGCCAGGAGTCAAGTCGACTGTGCTCACTCCCACAACGGCGCAAACGCCAATTTTTACCGGCATGCGCCTCCGAATACACCAAAAGAAAGATAAATCCACTCGTTAGACCGCGCCTGTTTCCGCTATCATGGAACAGACAGCTATTCAGCCTTGTTTGGTTGTAGATGCAGGTCCAAAAACATGCAGTTGGCTTGATGAGGGAACATCCTGATGTATACTTGACCAAGCCCATACACGTCCAGATAACAGCCACATTCAGACACAGCATATCATAATGCCATCTATTCAGCACTAGATGTGATTCTGCTGTCTTTTTTTTAACTCTTTGTCTTCTTCAAGGTATACTGGTAGAAATTAGAGCAGAAAAGTAAAAAAAAAAAAAAAACCAAAAAAGAGTGACCTCTATAAAACACTTTTATAGACGATCAAGTGCATGCCAAAGCCATAGGTGGCACTATAACCCCAACACTGAAACCTGTTAGAACATCACAGGCTCTGCAGTGAAAACCTGCGCAGTTTGACGTCTATTCAAAAGCCAGTGTCGTTTTGTATCAGTGAATGAAGAGTGGTAAGCACTGTTTAATGACAGCAAGAAGGTCCTCGGTTTGTTTTTTCTTGTGAATGGTTTGCATGTTCTCCCCATTTTCTGTGGGTTCTCTCTGGGCTCAACCATAGTAAAAACATCCGTGTTTGGTTCCTTGAAGACTTATCTCAAGGCGTTAGTTGTTCACTTAAGCTATGTGTCAGCCCAGTGATTGACAGGTGATGGAGGGCGGGAGACAGGATACACACAGGGCCTCCTAAATAATCTCGGATTGGCTCCAGCTTCCCTGTGTCCCCAAAGAGGACAAGTGCAATTGTAAATGCATGGCCTTTTGTTATGTGCGTCATGTCAAATCCTGTGTTTAGGTGCTTTGATATCTCTATTTAATATGGCTTTTACTAGCAATCTTTCAGACAGCTGGCTACAAACCTCACCTCACCTCACCTCAGTCTCACTTGAGAAGCAGTTTGTCACTAAGGCAGTGCGAGAGGAAAAACAGCCAAACTCAAAAAAAGTCTGCAGCATTTCAACTCGATGCCCTTCAGGAATCAAAGTACAAATGAATAGAGGGAGGCCTTTTGTCATAGAGGATTTTATGTTCCTCATTATATAGGAGGTTCACAGAACACCCATGGAGATTAACGCTCATAAACAATGATCACGTATTATAGTCTTATACATTGTTGTAGTTTTTTTTATTTATTTTTTTATTTTTTTAAAGCCCCTCGGAATAGTTCCTGGAAGTGCCCTAGCAAGTTCTTTTACATTTTTTTAACAGAAAAGGTTATTTCAAGTCCGGGGATATTTCCTCTGCTACAATACCTTGTTACTTATATTTCCATTCAGATCTGGGTAAAATATTTTATCTTCCAAGCGCCTCACAGGGAAGTTACGAATATCAACATTAAAAAAAAAAAAAAGAATGTAATCTTCACCGTGACTTGAACATTGTAATTTCCTGTAGAATACTTGACTTGAGCTATCTCGTGACAATTTTCTGCATTGGTGCAGGTCAGATTTGCATTGCCTCTAGATAAAATATGTGTGTACGTGTTCTGTGTGCAGCCAAACATGACCATCTCATTCTGGGGGGCATAGGAGGCTATTACAGGGCCAGATGGCACGGGTCTGAGGATCGCCTGATGGACAGACAGACGCACACTCCTAGTCTTGTAATTGGATGAGTAAATAGACGAATTCAAGGATATTCCCAAGCTATCGCATAAGCGGAGCAGTGGGGGCAATAGAGAAAGTTAACACAATGTCAGCACAATGTCAGTTTACACACGCGCGCGCAGTGGCTCACATGCAAAATGGCATGCGGGGGAGGATGTGCTCAGTCATGTCCAAACATCGTCACCCTTTTATCATTCACAGTAGCCTCATAAATTGACGGGAAATTGACATCTCTGACTGGTGTACCATCTATGTGGCTTCAGAGACAGACTAAGTGGAACACAGAAAGTAGGGGAGGTGCATCATATTTGATGTGCACTGGGCTTGACGATGAAGCAGTCATGCATACCCACTGCAGCGCATTTTTACCATGTCATAGTTTCTCCCCTGATCACACAAGAGAGAAAAAAAAAAAAAAAAAACATTTGTTGTCCTTGATAGGCTGCGGTGATGAATGAGCAAAGAATCCTGGAAATGAGCAGGGAAGGGTTAGTGGAGACTCAAACGCTGAATGAATGAAGCACATGGCTGGAGGAGGAGCAGAGTGTGCCAAGTGATGGATGAGCGTTGTCTGACCTCTGCTTGAGAGGAATCTCTGGGGAGTGTTTCACCCTGCTGGGGCCCACCTGGTAATAGAGAAGTTTTTTTTTTCTCTAAAAAGACAGGGACAAAACGATCACCCAAGTGGTAGAATGAACCACAAAGGAGGAGGTAGGAAAAAAAATAGAATGAATTAGAAATAGGCAATCAGTCAAGATGTAGGGGGCTGTCTGTGTTTTGGATGAAAAAAAATAATCAACTGATGGAGAAGGCAGGAAGTGGGCTGTGTAAAGGAAGAGACAGCGTGTCTAAATTATTGTGTGAGATGAATGTGGGAAAGAAAGCGTTGAAGGGTGTGAAAAAAGCGGCTCAAGATGAAGACGAGGGAACCAGAGGATCAAACGACAAGAGAAGGAAAAGCCACACTTTTACTGTCCCAAATAGTCACACTCAATTTGGCGTTTCGACTTTTTGTTATCTGCATCCAATCTTTTGAAGGATCACAATGTGTTCACGGTGATTTTTTTTTTCTGTGTAGGAATTTTTTCAAGAGAGAGAAAAAAAGTTGGTTAAGGCAAAATAGAGAAGTCGAAGAGAAAAGGTGCACAGCGTCATCACAGGACCAGGCCAAAAGGAGATGTATAAAAATAAGAATGGTTAAGTTTGGGAAGCGGTACTCCAGCTTCATCCCCACATTCAAAAAACATGCATGGCAGGCTAATGGAACACTCTAAATTGTCCCAAGGGATGATGGTGAGTGCGAATGGTTGTTCGTCTATGCGTGCCCTGCGATTGGCTGGCAACCAGTTCAGGGTGTCCCCCGCCGACTGCCCAGAGACAGCTGGGATAGGCTCCAGCACCCCCCGCGACCCTCATGAGGGTAAGCGGATTAGAAAATGGATGGATGGATGGAAGTTTGGGAAGCCTAAAAACTATATCAAATATAACGGAAGTCTTTCCAAAGCTTTAGAGCGACTCTTGCGATGGATCAGTCGCAAGGAAATTGATGAAAATGTATGAGAAAATGAAATGAGAAATGTACAGCAGGGAAGAGGAAAATAAATCTCCTTTGGTTGAGCCGTAGGACTCAAATAATGGAGTGAAAAATGGCAGGACAGTCTGGGTTGCAGAAATGACCAAAAGATGAAACCCAGTGTGGAAATGGCTGACCAGAAATGGCAGTGAAGGTGTGTGTGTGTGTGTGTGTGTGTGTGTGTGTGCGTGCGTGTGTGTGTGTGTGTGTGTGTGTGTGAGAGTTTTGCTGAGAGATGTCCTCAGCAACCAGAGTTGTGACTCGAAGACCACAAATAAATTTAAAAAGGGATGAAGGGGCCGGACAATTTAAAATGCCGAGTGTTGTGTGGCTTTGTCAAAACCGTTTTGCTTCCACTCAGGGGAGACCATTTGGTATTCAAAGTGTGCTCTCACGCAAGCACTCGGTGGTTCATTTGAATCAAACGCTACTTCGTCTTACCACACAAGTGATGCCGCTCTTGATTATTTATCAATATATTTTAGAAAGCGTCTGACATAGATCCCAAATCACTTTCATTCGTGGTTCAATTTTTGGCGGGGAAGAGCCAAAAAGCTTCTCTGGTGTTGGCAGGCTGTGGTGTAGATGACTGATGAGTGCGACGTGTCGAGTGGCGATGTTGGTTGTTTGAAGTTAGTTAGATATTCGATATTCAACAGATCACTTCACTAGCAAGTGAATTATTAATGAATTAAACATGAATATGCCTGTGAAGGGCTTGTATTTTATGTCGGGAGTGTCCCTACACATGCCGGAAAATTTTTCGAACCCGAAGGTCGCACGGCAGCTTGTCTCAAAAGCGTGCTTTGCCTGCTCTTGAATTGCCATGACTTTAAATCGGGCGTCGCCAACCTTTTTGAGAGGGAGAGCTACTTCTTGTGGACTGATTGTGCGAAGGGTTACCAAATTGATACAAGTCTGAAATGACATTATTTGCTCAAATGACCCGTTGCCGCTAACACTCGTACCCCCGCATGTGTTCCGGAATTCAATACCTTGGAACTGTTGACGTATTCTTCAAAAGCAGCGCCAGCCTAACCCCATGTCCGCTTTTGAATGGAGAGAGCGATGTGATGAGAACATTTGGAATCGAAAAGCGTTTTAGCCAAGAGAAGGGTGAATATGTGTGCTCGCGGATGAACAAGCTGAGAAAAAAAAAAAATGGGAAAGAAAATGTGAGCTGTGCATCCAAGCACAACGCACCTCGCTCCCTTTCATCAGCCATCACCGTGGAAACGAGTTTCTTCCTTGCCTCTCCCTCTCTTTCCCTCTCTCCTGGCTCCTCTCTCCTTCTCCTGAAAGAAGTAATCAGAGAGAGAGCGAGGTAGACGCACGTTCGGAGGGAAAGAGAGGAAGTGGTTCCGTCACCCACGCTGAGCTGTCAGAGGCGCTCGGAAGAAACAAGCGGCCCAATTTGCTCTCCTGTTTAACTTCCTTTCCCTCACCCTCGCTCACTCCATCCTCGTCGTCGTCTTCTTTGGTCACGGATGTGTTTGTGTGTGTGTGCATCTGGCAGGTTTGGGTCGCACGCAACTTTTGGAAGACACACCATCTGATTAGGGACAGCTTGGAGGCGTGTTATGCCTTCATTAGTGAGCGTTATCAGTGGAGGGGAAGAGATGCGACAGGAGAAGGTCCCTTGCTGGATTTTGGAACAGATGTTGTTTGCCATCTTGATTCCCAAAGCAGCCGGGTTGGGGTGAAAGTCATTATTTTATACCCATCTTTCTATGAGCTTCACCGAGGTTAATATTTTTGGCGTGACAGAGAACCACACGTTCACCTTGCCATGACCATATACAGTACCGTCAAACCTCGGTCCACAAACTTAATTCATTGCGAGACGATAGAATGTTTGCGAACAGGAGTCGTTTTCCTCATTTGAATGATTGAAAATGGATTGAATCGGTTCCCGTATTTTTATGTGTGCAGTTAAAAATAAATCTACTCACGGTCACTCGTCTAGCCACATCAGCTGCTTTTATTACTCCTTTGTTCTTAAGAATAGTAGAGGCGCTAGATTTCACCCAACTGAACTACGCTGTGAGATCAAAAACCCAAACATCATTCACATGCTTAACTATCATTTCTTTCTTTTTTGAACCGTAAGCTCAATTAGCCTCTCTAATAGCATTATCCCTTGCACATTTCACCTGTGGTGACCCGGATGTGGAGGGTCCGAGAGAACTTTGCCTTCCCTCGTCTTAATTCTTGCAAGTCCTCAAGAGTGGGTAGGAGGTGACCGAAGATTCTCTCGGCAGTTCTAACTGTCCGTAGCGGTCGGATTTTTTTGATCCATCTTTGTGGCGGCGCCAAACAAGACCGCGATGCTTGGTTGTGAATGAAATCTGAGAAAGCCCACACAAGCATCGGGAGAACGCGTACCTCCATACGGAACGGCTCATGTTGAGATTGGAATCCAGAACCTTTCCACTGTGTCGCTGCTTGTGTGACTGCCGCAACGCAATTGGCTCGATGTTTCCCTATTTCATGAGTGTTTTGGGTCCTTTAAATAATCAAACAGTTTGCTCGTGCATTCTTTTGTGTGTGTCCGTGTGTGTGTACGTATTGTTGTATGGGTGGGGAGTGAGTCACATCAAGGGCGCGCAGCTGGCACCTCATACCCAATTCATCACAAATGTTGGAACATTTGGGCGCACGCTGTTGTTTGTGTTTGTCTTCTGCAATTTAACCTTGTTTGGAGGCATTGTTTGCTTGCTTCCAGTGGTGTATTGTTGCTGCTCGGCATGCATAGCCTTGTTCTCCTCTCCAGTAATTTCGCAAGAGGAACCAGTAACACTGATTCACATGACACGTCGTGACCTTTCTTTATAATAATAAGATGCTGTCATGCAAGATCCCCACCTCAAATGTTTGTGGCCCCGCCCTCTTTTCTTTGCAGGAATCGATTCAATGAGTCACCCCTTGCCCACTTTAATATAAATACTTAGTTTGTGGTACTTAGTTCAGCTGTATGCAGTTATTCCTAGCCCCCCCCAAAAAATTAATCTTTCCTTTGGATAGTCCGCTGGCATGGCTCCTTGGGGCCGCATTTCAAGTCGCTTTGTTTGAATCAATGTACTTTATACTTCAGTCATGATGATTTCATGTCTCAGAAAATGTCCACTTGAAGGAACATACATGCTCCTGTGTTGTAATTCAGCCAGGAGGACAAAGCGGGCTAACGTGACACACCAGATAAAACACAGAAACACTCAAACAGAGGAACACACCGAACTCTCTAGCCCTATTCTCTGAATCCCACAATGCCACAGTTCTGCCCTCGGCCCACGCTGACCTTTGGGAGGCACATGTGTCCGGATAGATGTGCCCCACTGCATTTTATGCACTGTATATGCAATGCAAAGATGACATGCAGTTTCCCAGAGATGGGCATCCCATTTTGGGGATGGAGGACGGAGGACAGAGCACCAGGGGTGGATGTCAAAACATATTCATTGAACCTAAGCTGATCGCAGCTTGCGCTGATGTGCAGCAGCTGTCTGCAGCGGCAACAGAAGAGCGCAAGACATCAAAAACGGCGTGCGGGCTGTCGGATGGACGGCGTCAAATGTTTGCGCCCATTTAATGAGAAATCTCAAGTCAAGTCATTAGCCTCACAAAGTTTGCACTTTACCATCTTTTCTCTGAGCCACAATTGACCAATTACAGCGGTCACAGACAAATGCAGATTCTTCACTCCTGGCAGGAATTTGGGCCAATCAAATTATCTCTGCTGTGACGCTGTTATTATAAAAGTTAAACATTTCAATCTTGAGGCTTTAGCCGACAGCTAAGAAACAGTCCCATTGAAACAACCCTCACAAAAAAGAAAGCACCACACCAGATTTGGAAATGCAATTTAAAAGATGTTATCCTGTTGTTGTGACCTGTTTTAAAACGAGCGCAGTACAACTCCGGGATGAGTGCCACATTTTTTTTTTTTTAAATACAAAGACTTTTATTTTCGTCCTCTCGGGCTGTGATTTATTGTCTAGTCCAGTCGCAAGAATAACACATTGTGTTCCAAATGGAGCAGGAATGGAAAACTGTAAAACGCATAACTGATCATTCGTTACCATGTAAGTATAGATAAGCGTCCTCTCGCTCCGATCAAAAGTCTGCATTAATTATAAACATGAAAAACCTGAAATCTATCAGTCGGCATCGCGCCCATCAGGCCATGACTGCTTCTGCTGGATTCATCATCTTGTGGAGGATGTCAAATGCGAGAAACTCTTCATATGCAAATGCGTCAGCGGCACATTTCCTCCCGTTCCTGTGCCGGTTTATGGCCAAACCTCTTTCACCAGCACTTAGTCTCTTGCCATCCGCCTTCGTCTCACCCCCAAAACCATCCCCCCCCCCCCCACCCCCCACCAACATCGACGCCTCCTCATCCCCTGTGGTGTTGACCGTGTGTGAATGGGACAGGATGATCGGAAAGGAATAAACCACACACGCACACACGCACACACACGCACACACCTGCGAGTGTGCTGTGGGATGCGCGTGCGTGCGAGCACTGGAGGACTTCCACAAAGGAGGATGAGTCACTCCAAGGCGAGCTCGTAGCATCCGCAGCCCAGTCGATACGACACAAACACACACTTCCCCCTAACAAACACACACTGTATAAATAAACCAGAGGCTTTCACTCACATGCATGACGGATAGTGTTCATGTGTCACTTTAATGAGCTTGGTGTCGGTTTGTGTAGGCACAGCTGACGGCTGCTGTAGTGTGTGTGTGTGTGTGTGTGTGTGTGTGTGTGTGTGTGTGTGTGTGTGTGTGTGTGTGTGTGTGTGTGTGTGTGTGTGTGCGTGTGTGAGTGCGTGCGTGCGTGCGGTTGTTTGGATTCGCAGCGGTAATTGTGCATGTATGGGTGCCTGTGTGCGGTAGGCATGATCAGGCTTTTCATGAGTGTTTTCTAGTATATAAGAGGCGCAGCGATGAATTGACAACTCATCGATTATCAAATTGATCGGTGAGTATTTTGATCATCGATTCGATCATTTCATTTAAAATTACCCAAGTACTCGGAATGGGTAAATATAGTCCGATTTCTGTCGTCCTCCATCAAAGCAGGCTTTTTATCTTTGTGTTATTTCGAAGGAAAACATTTGCAAACATCCGATTTCACTTTGGAAAACAATAAGCAACATTTTTGCCAATGTTCTGACAAATTACAGAGCAAACCTGTAAGAATCCGAGTTGTTTTATGTTTGTGCATTTTCTGCACTGTCCATGGAAAGAATGTCCTCTTTTGGACAAAAGGGATGGAATTTTTTTTTTTTTTAATCCAATTCATCCATTAATCAACAACATAATTGACAGAGTAATTGATGATCAAAATGATCGTTAGTCGCACTTGCACCCCTGCTGCACATCAAATTAATTTTCAACAATAAATTGAAACCACTGTGATTCTCCTTTTACTGCTATTTTTTTTTTCCTCTCTTATCTCCTTTTCCAATATTCCCAATTTTCACCACTGGCGGAAAAGTAATAAGATGGAGGAATAAAGCATGAAACCTCCAGTGAGAGTGAACACAATTAAAGCCCGGAAATCAATGTCTTTTTTTTTTTCCATAAAGCCAATGGCAAGTTCAACAAATGCTATTTCACAAACATTCCTGTTCTCCCTCTCCAGGAACCTTCCGAGGTGTGTGCAAGAAGATCGATCACTTCCCCGAGGATGCTGACTACGAGGCCGACGCCGCCGAATACCTCCTGCGTACGTTTATGAATAAACACACCTCCTAACTGCGCCACGCTTCATTCACCCAGCCATGTTAAACCGTCATAACAGCCTCTAATTACATTTTTAGGGTGTGACTTTCTCTTAGCGGGGCAGGCATGTGCAGTTTACCATCTAAAAGATCGCAATGCTCAATTGCACTTTGCGGTGGTGAAAATAACCGTGCGCTCACAATAATACCATGATAGCATATATGAAAGTGGTTATCACAATGCAAAGGGCTGGCAACGAAAAGCAAAGGATGTAACGTCTCGAAGCTTGACGGGCTTGCTGTACCGACAATTACTGATTGGACGGTTGCCGTTGGAGGCAGCGTGGACTAACAACATCAAAGCACTGAAGAGATGGATAGGCCACTCTTATGCTGCCTTGGCTGAGATAAATGAGGATTGTTTTCTCCTCTTTCTCTGCAAGGCGAGAGATCCTCATTGGGGAAGATGCATAACCCGCGCACGGGCTTTTATCAACAACTGTAGCGTGTTAGGAAGAAAAATGACAAACTACCCTGTGATTTCCACATACATCCATAAAAGTATTCGAAGAGAAAATGGTAGGAGGATGTATTTTTGTTTTCCTCTGATTGTAAACTGTTAAGATGGATGGAGAGGGAAATATTTACAGCAACCGGGTGGAGGGGCGAAAAAAAAAAAAGGGGGGAAAAAATTCAGCTGGAGCTTCTTTTTCATTGCTCCACTGAACACGGAGTAACCATCCCCAGAGGCCGCCAATTTGAGCACAAGCCTGAAAGCCTGCCAGCCAATAGGGAGCCAAGACCTAGTGACCGGCATTTCATTCAGCCCAGGGATGTGGGCTATGGGGGCGGGGCCTGTATGCTCAATCGCGCTACACCGTCGGTCAACCGCCCTTTCAGCAATGTTTTGTAACTCAACCAAAACAGATTTGCATGAAGTTTATCATCGTTCTTGGACAGGTATGTTTTCCATGTGTCAAAGCCTTTCACACAACTCGGTTCCAGTATGACAGGCCGTTTGTCGGAAACCTTCAGTATGCCATCACACCGAGTTCACATATGGGATCCTGACAAATATTTCTTATTATTTGGCCTGCATATGTGTCCGTGAGTCTCTCCATCTGTCTTGGTTTCATCAAATGTGACGGGTAGCAATGGTTACTGCCGAAATATGCCCTGAGCAACTGTGATGTCATTTTCAGTCGACAGCAAGTGGCAAAATGGCCGCCCCTGAGATGGTTGAGTGGGGGTGCATATAATAAATAGATTATTGTAGTTTTGACTTGACTTTCTCTTGAATTCCACCACCAGTTTAAGTTTGCAGTCACATTAAAGAAAGAGAACAAAGAGAAATATGCAAAACAAGCACATATCTTAACCTTTGAGTCTGCTAGCTTAATGTTAACCCTAATTAGCATACTTTAGCCCTTTAAGCAATGGATTGAACAAAAACGGTGCGGCACAACATGTGGACAGACCACTTAACTGTACTCACAATCATATCTGCATTAAAAAAACAAATGTGAATGCCGTACTGCTGAGCTGAAAAAGAGAAAGATGTAAAGCATTACTATGAATTGCACTTGAGTTCCGGTGTGAGAGTGTTTTAAGATTGTCCGTGTAGTCACGGAACAAAATAAACTCATATCTCAAGGCACCACTGACAAAAAAAAAAGTAAATCAAATCTCTTGTTGACTCGCTAAAACCTTGGCATTCGGTTTGAAAAACAGCTCAGGGCGCTCACTTGTGTACTAGTAGTCATCAGTGGAGGCATTGTGACATCCATTGCTGCTATTTTGGTAACCTGTACTGTGGGACTGCCAAGTGTCATTAAGCTAACAGCTTGCTTGAACCTAACAGGTGCAGTGCGTGCCTCCAGTATCTTCCCCATCATGAGTGTGGGGCTGCTGTTCTTGGGAGGACTCTGTGTAGCCGCCAGTGAGTTTTACCGCAGCCGACACAACGTCATCCTCAGCGCAGGAATCTTCTTTGTCTCCGCAGGTCAGTGTGCACTGCAAATGTGTCCCGAAAGTGGCATAAAGTAGGTCTGCTTTTTCCAATAGGGAGGATCTTTTTTTTTTTTTTTTTTTTTTCCTGCCGCAAATGGCTTTTCGCGTCGGATGTTAATGTCAACTTGATTTCCCGTTCAGGTAGTCAAATCAAAATTGTTGTACTGTAGTCAATTGTTCAGATGCTCGTTTTTAAGTCAGTGAAGCATGAAAGAAATGCATTGACTGGAGTTTGTGCTTCACTTTGTTTATCATAATGAACATCAAAATAAGAGCCTGAAAGTAAACTTTAGTAAATGCATATTCTGGTCGGATTAAATGAATCAGAATTGAATTTGTGTATGTGGATATAGATGCTGTCTAGTCTACATTTGCATGTCGTTTCATGAAAAAATTGAAGTGAGTTTGCATTATTGCTGTAATCTGATTTATGATTAACTGATATATGCTCTGCTCGTTTGGTATAATTTTGTAAAGTTGTCCGAGTGAACACTTAAAACACGGCAACGTTTTAACGACGTTAACAACTTCAATTATAGGATATTACTTTTTTTGTTTGTTTGTTTGTTTGGTTTTTTTTTTTGTTTGCTTCATGTTTTACTTGTGGACATAGGACACAGCAGCCAGTTGAGATTTAAAGCACGCATTGATACAGCTGCACATCATCAGCCTCCGTCTCTCGACACACACACACACACACACACACACACACACACACACACACACACACACACACACACACACACACACACACACGTGTCTGCTCTTGCCCCCTGACACACAAAGAGGGCTGTAATTGCTGTTCAGTGGGATGTGGAGGGCCCCACTGGGGTTTTGTAGTAAATTCTTGAGGCCAAATTGGTAATTATTTACCACAAAAGTGTGAGGCTGATTGTGCTTAATTACATCCAGCTAATTGTCCCCATTCTGTACGTTCCACCACACTGCATGAGCACTGTATTCTGGACTAATGATATGGAATAGGAGAGCCCAGCTGCGTGCGTGCGTGCGTGCGTGCGTGTTGTCCCTGGCGTATTTGTTAGCCGCATTGCTTTTGACTGGCTGTCCGTCTCTCTGCACGCGACAGGCTTTGGATCTCTTGAAAGATGCCAACTAACTAACTCGAAATATATTTGCAAACTCAGAAGCTGTAAAGTCGAAACAATGCAATTGTTCAGAAATGTAAGTAGAATTCGGTCAAACCCATTCAACATATTTACTGTAAATGTCGATAATGTGCCAATGCAGGAATTTGTTCCATTTTGATCTCTTGGAAGACATTTTGGAAATAGATAACAGCTGTTCACCTTGATTTTTGCATGTGACCCATTGAAATTGATTCTGAATTCACATTTACAAAGATGTTGTGCCACAGCCTAAGTCCTGAGATGCAAAAACATTCACGACAACTTGATTTTGTGAATTGACAGAAATTTATTTATTTATTTATTTTTTGTATGTTCACCAGAAAAGATCCTTTCTTCCTCTGACTTCTCTCGGTTTATTCAGGACCTTTGGATTAAATTCAGGCTGACGCTTGTATCTAAGTGTTTTTTTTTTCCTTTTCCTTGCAGGCCTCAGTAACATCATTGGAATTATTGTCTATATTTCGGCCAACTCAGGCGATCCGGGCCAAAGTGACAGCAAGAAGTCCTACTCCTACGGCTGGTCGTTCTACTTTGGCGCTCTCTCCTTCATCATGGCAGAAATGGTGGGAGTGCTGGCGGTGCACATGTTCATCGAGAAGCACCGCAAGCAGCGGGCCAAGTCCCGCACCGAGCTCATCAAGAAGTCCGCCTTTAGCCGCATCCCCTCCTATCGTTACCGCTTCCGGCGCCGCTCCAGCGTCCGCTCGTCGGAGGTTCCGAGCCGCGACGCCTCGCCGCTGGGTAAAGTGGGTTACACGGGGCCCGGCGCCTCCGAGATGCCCATGTACACGCTGAACCCACGCGAGGCGGGCAACGCCGCCAGCAAATCCGGCTTAGGTGGGCTGCTCAACTCGGAGAGGGAGTTCCTCCAGAGTAGCACGCTCACTAAAGACTACGCCAAGGACCCCAACCGCAGGACCACGCCTGTCTGAGAGGCGTTGCCTGCAGATATCAACCGATCATAGTAGCAAAGAGGAGGAGGCTGAGAGAGGGAGTGCTCGCTGAAGCAGGCACGGGGAAGCGCGGGGTTAAAGGGGAGCGTCTCAAATACCTTGACTGTGAACTGTGAACTTTTTAGCCTTTGAACTGTGAATCCTGAGCCCAGTGAGCATTTCAGTGTGTGTAGCACGAGCCGTTTGGATAGAGAACTCGTTCCCATCTCCGCTCCTTAACCTCATGTTTCTATAATTGGCACATTCATTTCTGATCGGCTTGTACTCATTTTTTTTTTTTCTTTTTAATTCATGGGATCGCCCCGTCTCGCGTGGTTTGCTCTTTTGGCAGATTCTCCTAAAAGGTGTAATGAAACCTAAATGTGAAGAAAGGGCGCAGGGTAGGACCTCGGTCCGTCTTTGGTAGCAGATGAAGTGCAGCATTCGTTCTCAGTTGGACTGACTGAACGATATAAATGAAGGATGCATTTGTCCGCGTGTATGTATATATTCTATATGCTTCTTTTTTATTGCTTTAATCACGGGCTGGCTTCTGTCGTGACAGAAAGACTGGACTGAAGGTGATTTGAGTTCATTCCTGTCGAGATTTGAGCTCTTTTTAGAGTTGATCTCTGGTCACTTGTTTGCTTGTTGTCAGCACTTCCGGATGGTCATTTTTGGATCATTGGTGCTTCCTTTTGACTCTTTTCTTCTCTATTTATTTCTTCAGCGACCGCGTGACGATCCGCGCCGCTCGCCTCACCTCTTCACTCCCACCACTTTTTTCGCCCTCTCTTCCCCACACTCGTCTTCCGTCTGTGTCACCGGTAGACGAGCCGCATTGAGGAAACCCGCGGAACAGAGGAGACCACTTAGCTGTGAATATGGTTCGAGACAGAGCCATGAAGACATTAAACAAGAGACGCAAACGCTCGCCCGCTACCTCCCGCTGAATATCGTTCGACAATTGTGTCTAAAGTCTCTCTTGTGCAAGGGGGGGCAGGGGGAGGGTAACAATTGGCTTTGTAGCACGCGATGTAAAGCAGACTGGAGGGGGAGTGCCATGCATTATTCAGAGGCTTTGGCCGCCCTCCATTGAGGTGTCAGTCACAGCCGCCGCGCCTTCTCTCCTCATCTCCCATCCGTGTGCATCGACTGCATGCACATACACAAACGCGCGTCTTCTATCTGTGACCTCCACAAACGCAGAACAGGTCACACCAATACATCTCCGTACGTCTCCCTGCTCGCATGCACTTCCATATAGTGCGGGTTGCTGTCACGAATAATAGAGAGTCACCTTCGAGTCTGCGTTAACATTTGGGCGTCGGCTAAGCGTTTCAGTTTATCAGCAGACGCGTGAGCCAAGCATGATTTGATGGGCTGTATTGCGGGGGGGGGAAACTCTGTGGATGCGAATGCTGAAGGAGAATGCGGCCATTTATGTATTTTGGTACATCTGAAGACGTTCAGAAGAAGAGACAGCGATGGTCAGCAAATTCGACAAACAGACAAAGCAAAGTAAAATAACTCAAATATTGAAACGCGTTAATCCGCGGTATTTTCCCATCCACTTGTGTGGGGTAGACCGTAACGAATCTCCAGTCCATGATGGCCTGCTGTGTTGTGGTTGTTAAAGGCTTCAACTGTATGTAGAGCTAGTCCAGAGAAAGACGCAAATATATTTTGAAGCGCTACCACATATCGCCTGACTCCGGGAGAATTTTTTTTTTTTATCCAATCACCAGGCAACAACTGAACGAGAGAGGAGTGAATGAGCAAGCACAGTTGCAGAATCAGAAGTGTAAAAATAGATCCAAGATTTATCCGTCTTTGCCTTTTACGCAGAACCCAGCAAAGTGGGAAATTGCCGCAACTGGATGTGCTTTCACGCAGTGTCACAGCATCCGACAATTCGCTAGTGATCAAAATAAAAGAAGCGGAAAAATGTGAAACGTCGCATTCCCTTTCACACAGGAGCTTTGACATATGGCGTTATTTCTTTTTTTTGCTTCCGAGTCACTATGGCACTGCTTGGCCAGAAATAACATAAAACGACAACAAGCAGATTTGCCTCATGACCACCTGGACAGCCATTACCTTGATAAGAAAATATGCGGCCACATTCCCCACCAAGAGAGCGTTGGTATGTCCTTGCGCTGGCCGTCCCTCACGTGTAAATATTCATTTTACAACATCAGCAGTTGTCATGGGCTGTGAAAGGGAAAATGTGCTTTTCTCTTTCAGCAAGGGCTTTTAATTTTTAAAGAAACGGAGCACACAAGGGCTTTCTATGCTCGACGTTGCACCGACATTGTTCAAAGGGTGTTAAGTGGATGGGATAGATGCGTGAACGCGGGACGACAAGGAAAAGTACATTTGCACGGGAACAAGCGTTTATAAACCAGCTCGAATAGCTAACAAGCGACAACGGTGTCGGAGCAGCGTTCCAGAAAAAAAAAAAAGTGTTCTCACTGGGCCACGTTCGCTTCAACTGAGCCTTGACGAGATGTTTTTCTCGAGTTGTAGAGTTAAGACGACTTTTCCAAGTAGTTAGAATCAAGAGGATCAAACCTTACGCACACGTAGGCTAGCGTCGTACGTTGATGAAAATGTTGTTAATCATACCTGGTGCCAAATACGACTGAAAATATTTCCTCCAGTCGGCCGCTTTGAGTTGTCATTTGGACTTTGGGGTGGGAGCAGTGTAGCGTGTCATGAGGGCCCCCCTCACATCCACATGGGGGCCCGTCAGGGGTCATTCATGAGCCATGCCAAAAGTGACGCCTCAAGTCATGCGCATGCCACATATCCGTCGGCTTTTCCGGCGCTTCCTTTGCTTTACGATACATCTCAAAATTGCACCCTGAACGTCAGACTGCTCCTGGTCAGAGAGTTTACTGGGTGCTTTTGACGCCGGCCATCTTCCTTGTACCTTCACACAGCTTGGACTGGATATAAACAAATAAGTGTGTTATTTAGTAATGCTATATATTCTATTCTAAAGGTGCCACTGTGCAGAGGACGCCAACCTCTGTCACGTATTTATTAATCTATTGATGGTCGGGGCACTGGGTGTGACTGCAGGGCCCAGATTTGGGGCATCTGGGGTGGTCGTCTGTGTATATTAATCTCGTTGAATTTTCTCCTTTAATGTGGATTGTGGAGTGGCTGAATGGTTCACGTGTGCAGCCTGTGATAGAGGCGAATAGATTTCAGAGTGGGTCAGTTAGTCAGCCGGACGATCAACACACCGCACGATGAACGACAACACTTGAACGACAACACTTGAACGGGTGACTATACTTGCGAGGACTTACCGATCATTCCCGTTCACCATAAAAGCTTCTTGGAAACAGATAATGTGATAAATGCCAATACAAAAGTTTGTAAAGATATGCCACATAATGACCAAAAATACCGTATTTGCTCACTTAGTGGCTGCGGGTGTTTAATTTCTCATGACCTGCAGAGAATACGATAGTGTCCATTCGTGGATAGATGGACTATGCTAATTCGAGTAGCATAACAATATGACATAAGCACTTTAAGCTCTGCCGTAAACGTCAATTTTACAGATGCCCTGTCTTTGTTCATGTATTGTCTTCATATCGTTACAATTACCTACTCGCATTGGCTGATAGAGAAAAATGACATTGGCCTTTGGCTTTTATTTCTTCCAAGTGGATGATGCATCAGTGAGTGGGCATTTTTTGAAGAAATATGGTATGACCATACCTTGTTTTTTTTTTTCTTAGATGCGTCAGTCACAAATGTTTACACTTCACATCCAACATAACGTGGTTTTCCTCCATTGTCCTCGTAAGTATAGCAAGGAAATTAAGGACAGTGGACAATACACAACTAACACTGGTCATTGGCCATGAAGCAACAGCACTCAAATGGTGATGGGACGAGAAAAAAAAAGTCTTTGTGAAGTGTTTTTTAAATTTTTTTCGGGGAGGGGGACAAACAATGTTTAAAACCCAGATTGAGTCAGTGAATCAAACGCGGTGGAGGATTTTGTTCTGAGATGGCGACAAACGAACTCTACACTTTGCTATTACAAACACACACTCAAATACTTGTGAGGAGGACTTATGTGCCTGCATGGTTGTGTGTGTGTGTGTGTGCGTGAGAGTTCATATCAACAAGTGTGTACGTATGTGTCCAGCTCGCCTCTCCTCGCTTGTACACGGAGTGCCTGACTTGTCCTGCCTTCAGAGTAGCTCCCACATCAGCCGAGGGGCTTTCCAGTGTTGACGTCCGACAGCGAATTACACCGATAGGCAATTCTGACCTATTTCGTATGTTGTTGACTGTCTGAATGTTGTTTTTAATGTACTCTTCACATGTATCCTGTCATTGAGGTTTGATTCGGGACTGGCAGAGGGGTGGGAATCGGGTTGGAAAACAATTTGTGGTTACCCTAATGATCGCTGCTCTTGAATCGACGCTCCTGGTTGTAGACTGTTGTTGCTTATTCTTTACCTTGCCCAAGTTTTTTCGTGTGTGTGTGTGTGTGTGTGTGTGTGTGTGTGTGTGTGTGTGGCTCAGAAGATAGTGAAGCCATCTGCTGGTTTGCTCCTCATCCAGACTCTGAAGCTCTGATTTCTCCTCGTGACCACAATTACGGTTGTATAAAAGCATTTTCAACACTTGGACTTCCAGTTGAGTTGAAACTTCCGTTGTTAAGGGTAAAATATGTACACAGGCAATTTCCCTCCAAAAAAAAAAAATCATCGTGAAGCCATTGATTTTCTAAACGATTGCTTTTTTTTGTTGCCTTTGTGGTGCTTTAGCTTTCATTTTATGTGTATTTTGACATGGAGCCGTTATGTGTTTGTTTTTTTAATGGTTTTGCCTCAAAAACTGTGCTCACTGTTGTTTACACGCAGAACATTTCCGTGGCTCTTTACGCTTGACCGACCAAGGACGATAGACTGCAAATTACAGGGTGTGTTACCAAGCGTCGACCATCAGGTGCGTTCAAGTGGCATCGTGGAAAAATTGTTGACACTGTGGTTTGCTTACATGTTGACGGATCCTCAACCAAGGTGTTTGTGTGAAATAATAGCCTGCCAAGAATCCAATCTGACTTCTTCAAAATATTTTTGACCAATTCTTTCAGACTGTTATCTAACAAAGCCATCCCTTCAAAAGGCAACATTGACGATAATTTAACACAGATTGCAATGAGAGGCAGTGTAACCAATAAAACTATGGACGGGGGGGAAAAAATATATATGCTTCAAAATGACCCCCCCCAAAAAAAAAAAAACATCCAAGTGTGCAGATGGAGTTGACAGTGAAGCTGATGCAACGTGTGCTGTGATCAAATTGAAATTATGTTGGGGGTGGGACAGACTCTGACCCTGCTGTATACCTCTGAGCCCTATCATGAGCTAAACACACACACACACACTCGCATGTGCGCGCTTGCGGACACACACACACACACACACACACACACACACACACACAAATCTATTCCCACCAGAATTCAGTAAGATTTTGTAAAAAAAAAAAAAAAATGCAGTCTTACCAATATTTGGTTTGTATTGAAAAATATTTTTTCCTAATGAATTATATAATATTTATGCTTTAACGATTATTGCTAAATAATTGTAGTAATACTGGCAAAAAATGGCAATCATATTGTCAAAACATCTGTCCAGTTAAAACGTAATAAAGCATTTTTTGTTCAATTTCTTACGACGTTCTGTCGTGGACGGGTTGCTCAGACACACAGTTGAATCTCTGTACACCTTATAAACGTAAACCTCCAACTAGCAGCCGTCTGACACGGACAAATGCTGTGAATAAAAAGCACACTTTTACTTACATTACATAGATATGATTACCTATATCTAGAGAGAAAGAGTATTATATACAGTATGATGAAATAGAAAATAAAGAGACACCTTTTCAATGCGCCTGCGTGTGACTGTTGTCATTTTGTGTGCTGTTTGCATGTTAAGTTAGTAGAGCTCCCATACCCAAACACCGCTGTGTCGACCTGCTGATCTGTTTGGATTTAGAATTGAATTTTCACAGGTATAAATGCAAACATGACGGCAATTGGATCGATATTTTCCAGGGACAAATTGCTGCCAAATCAAAACCTTTAGGAAGTGGACAGGAGCTGCTAATGGTCAGTTAAATGGGCTTTTCCAATTGTATTTATTTTAAATAAGATATTGATGGGCACTTGCCCTGTGCGGCATCTCAAGATGCTAATTAGACAACCTGAAGATTGCACGGGTGTGCCTTAGAATGACCTCACGAAAAGGCCACTCTTAAAATGTGCAGTTTTATCACACAGGGATGCTCTGGATTGGTGTAATGCAACAGCATGTTACAGTTCCGACCAAGGAGGATGAAGTGGACTGACATTTCAAAGGTCACATGATAGTGGCGGTATTCAGAGGTGGATGCAGTCGGGTAAGTCCCCATTTTTTTGCTCGGGACTCAAATGCACGGCTTAAACACTGCTGAGATCAAAATTATGTATCCATACTTTACTATGACGGAAATAACACTTCAAGATACTCTTCAAGTAAGCGTAATGACTCTGAGCATCGCTGTTGGATGCCCATTTTCGCAAAGTTGCGTTCATCCTTGTCGACACTTAGGATGATGAAGCACACCTTCCACTTGGCGCAAAAAGCAGGAGAGAAGATTTAGTCACCTAACGAGGCTCATGCGGAAACAAACCAATGCAATTAAACACTTACTGTGTTGTCTATTTATGCTGATGGTGTTCAGGAGAGACACGAAATGCCCAACGAGTAGATCTGCATTAAATAAGCACGAGTGTTTCTGTAGGACTCTTTCAAGAGACGTGCAAGCAACATCCACGAGGTGCCATCCGGCAGCTCAAACGAGCACACAGGCTTTGCAAAACTGTTGTTCTTCAATATGTTTTTTTTTTCCTCTTTTACTTCAGTGGTTGCACTTCATTGCACAGCTTTTGTTATTATCGAGGCTGAATAGCAAGCCAAGCTGTGAGTGTAGGAAGGAATGAATGAGGAGCTCAGATACACCTGATGAATATTCATCATCATTCATCATTCATGGGGCTCCGTGCCATCGTCATAGAGATTAGAGTGGATGACAGGATTACGGACAGGGGGGTGGGAGAGGGGGGGTGTACTGTGCGTCACTCTGCTTTTTGTTACCTTTGACTTCCTGTGGTCACTCACGTCCAAGTGCCTCCCAGATTTCCTGTTGCTCAGAAAAATTCCATGTTTCATTCCACATATTCCTCCATTCTTTTCTATTTATTTATTTTCAATTCTCCGTGATCCTTTTAAGCCCTCACATTTGTCTGTTTGGAAACCTCCCATTGAGCAGTATGGCACTGTAGTAATTGCTTTCTTCAGCTCCATTGGCCCAATCAGAGAAAATTGCCTTTTATGCAAATAGCCCATAAAGCACACTGAGCGTTTCCCAGCATGTATCCCTCAAGAATCCCACATCAGATGATTTTTTTTTTCTGTTACAGCTGACAGCAGCAACTCAGTGTACGCTTTCTTTAAAAGTATAACAGCCGTTTTCATTCAGAAACGTTAATGTCAGTTAACTCATGGTCATTTGTATGTACAATGAATCTCGAAGTATAGACGCCCCCCACCCCCCGCCCTCCATCGGCCTCAGAATGATTATTTTTTCCTATGTTGCAGTCAGTTTCATATTTTGTGGTTGTGGGCCCCTTTTCCCTCTTACCCTTTCACTGCCCAAAAATAGCAAAACAAAACAAAACTTCTGGTTTCCAATCCGCGGTTTGTCAGGAATCCAAATTAGGAATTTCCACTGTACCTGCTTTGTTAATTTTCTACTTGTATTGAATCTCATGAACGCGTGCTCAGCCTAGCAGCAGTAGTGTCACTTCATTCCAAGCCATGACAATCCTTGCAGACGTTCAAAGCGCCAAATAGGTCGGCAACCATCTTCCTAGTTGTTTGACTGATCGAACTGACTAATTCAATCACACTTTTACCACGTCATTATACTCTATGCTGCATATCCACCGTGTCCATGGTCTGATGTGATATGCTTCCCATGCCGTCTT